TAGGCTCACCCTCACTCGCACATCCCCACACTTAGACTCACGCCTCATTTATTTTATTCCCACTAATGAGTTTAATTAATCCAATAATATGGAAGCAGAACAGTCAATCAAAGTTTGAGAGAATGATTAAGTTAACATAAACAGAGCAGAAAAAAACTTCATTTTGCACGTAAATGTCGGTGCGGAAGTATCTATGCGTGCAAATGTCGCACGCGAAAATGCAGTGCACAAAAATTTCGCGCACAAAAGTGTCATATCATGGTGAGTGTGACCAGGTGAATATCTTCTCTCGATCCACACCGAGACAAATGAACATTTGAACTAATCTGTTTTGATCCGAACTAGAGCAATTATAAACTGAACTGAATTCTATTCTCTTCTGTGGTATACATTCATCCTCAAGAGAAGTGCTAAATAAAAATCTTCAATATACAATACCAATCGTATTCTGAAATTTGAATATGAATAGTCAAAAAAAGATTTTATCTTTTTGTATAGATATTTCATTGACTATCTGGATAGTCTAGTAAATTTGACTAATGATAAGATCATCTGTCAAAATCGAATCTGAATCAAATAATCAAGATTGATGAAGTATTCATTATACTTTTTGGTATTTTTTCAACTAATTTCTTGCCATGTCGGTATGGATTTCGCCTGTGGTAAACTTAGGTTGCCAAATATTATCATTTGCTTTAGATACTAGAACTATCGATTTTTTTATTAATCTATCAGGTCTTTACAGTTTCGAAGTCTTCAGGTTGTAAATACTAGAAAAGCTTCTCTTTGGTATATCTGTCCATTTTTAGTCACCCTATCGATGAGTTGCAGGAATCTTTTCAGTAAATGGCTATGAGCAGTGTTAAGAAATTTAAAGTCAATTAGCAACTACTACTATCAAATATTCAGAAGTTTGAGAGAACTATTAAGTTTCATCTTTCTCCAGTTGCATCAGTCAGAGAGCTCATCGTGGTAGCTTCTTTTTGAAGGACCTTGCAAAACTCCATGAAAAGTCGCATAGAATTTCAATATCCAGAAATGTAACACTGACACTCGATTAACCTCATGAATTAGTAACAATAATTGTCGTTTAGTACAGTACCGGTGGTGATATTCAAAAATTTATTCTTTGAATACTATCACGGAGCGGTAGCGACTGGTTTTCAGGCGCAATAGACACCTCTCGCACCAGACACAATTTAGTTTAATACGGATAAAAACTAAAATCAATGCAATTAATAATGATTAAAAAAATAACTGTAACTAACGGTACACCGATAGTAGAGCTCCCGATATTTGAACCTTTCATACGTAGTTTTGGCCAAAATAAATAATAACCTATATGTACATTATTCACTAATATTGGATAACATATTATAAAATGATATATACAATTAATTAATCATTCTTCTCGGTCAATACATCAGCCACTCTTGTTAAAGGAATAAAAGGAAAGTCTCAGTCTATGATTAGCTATTCACTGGACGAATAACACATATCGGAATAAAGAAAACGTGGACAATCATTCTTCATATAACTCTACTTAAGTATGTCAATTACACGGTCATCAAAAGGTAAAAATTAATTTCTTGTTGATGGTTTTCAGATATCGGCGAGCACATAATAGTCAAGTACCGTGGCGATTGATGCGGATAGAGGTGCCGGTGTGTGGGTATTAATAAAGAGGAAACTAAAACCTACAGTCACACCTTCACACGCCGAAACTCAAATGTCGGTAGCTCAACCGACATATCATCTGTGGAACATCGTTGTTCATCTCTCCAAAAGAAAATACATATATTCACAATAGAACATTAAATTGAACTTGATAGTTTTGCTTGTAACTTACCTTGTAGTAATTTTTTCAATTGAGTATATTCAATGTATGTTTAAGCTGTTCAATTGGAACCGTCGATGAAAATTTGCTTTCAATCAATCTTAAAAAGAAAAGAAATATTACTTGAATTAATTGAACAAAAACTTAAATAACATTTGATATATAATTATTGAACTCAAATGCTTGAGTCCAGTGCATATTCAATACATTTGTTCATGCGTATTAATAAAATATTTAATTCAACAATGAATCAGTTTGTCATTTAGTTCCCATGTTTTCGATTGTGATCGAATTTCGACGCAATTACGCCGCAACTGTGATCACGCTGTAATCCGTAATTGCGAAAAATTGAGGCGCAGTTGCTAAAAAACAGGCGACATGGGTTCATATGATTTGAAGCAAGAGACAAATCGATAGTCAAAACAATACACAATCAATAAATCAGAATCGTTCAAACAGTGAAAATGAAAAAATTTTTCTATCAACCATATCTTTAAAATGTTAAAAGTTGTTGTGCTGACTGTATTTAACTAAAAAAGTTGAGTAATGAAAATGAAAAAAATCCAAGCGTCGAAACTGTCGATCATTCTTTCGCACGTTTTTCTTTGCTTTTGTTTGTTTTACTCATTATTCAAACAATTGGAACATTCGACACAATGAAACAATTTTCAATTCATTTCAGCTTTGATCAGCTATTGTGAAGAACACAGCTCCTCATATAAATCTTTCTTCCGTTCTTTTTCAAAGAAAAAGATTAATGTTGGAATTTTCTGTCAACATTAATTTGATGAAATAATAAAAATTTGAAATACTGCTGAGAAAAAACCGTTATGTAATCAATGTTTTTAAGTAACATTTATCATTCAACTAAAATTAATTTTTCTATCAAGTTAGTTGTAATAAAGTCTCCGACACATTAGAAGACACCCTCTAAGAATCGATTTGTTTAAAATCATTTCGGCGACTTATTGATTTTTTTAGTGTTTATGTCGATAATCTTTATGGTCTCTATACAAAAAAATCGTTCCTATAATTTTAGGACCTAATTGACGCAGTGCACAATTACATGGATCACGCATAAAGAGATCTTTCTAAAATAGGAACATATTCTGTAAAATCATCTTGTATAATAATTAAAAAGTCTCTTCATCTTTACATTCTCTTCTACAAATTGAGAAAATCTTTTATCATAAAACAGCGCATTCATAGTTGCAGACAGCATAACTTCAAGTATACATGGCAGGTTTGTTCTATGAAGTATTCCTTCTGAGCCTGAGAACATATTTCTTTTCGCAAAAAGATCTAAAGAGATTTTTCGAAACATACTCAAAAAACACATTGAATTTATACTCAATTGCTGTTTTTTCTTTAAACTATTTCTTCACAGACAACCGTACCTGTTGAAATGGGCTTGGTGTTAAACGCAGAAACGTAAAATATCGAAGAGGAAAATGTCGATAAAAAAATAGGAAAACACAGAAGAGAAAAATATAAACAGTGAAAATAGCGAAAATGTAGAAGTCGAATGGAAAAAAGGTACGAGGAAAAAGCCCAAAGGAAGATGTTGAAAAGTCGCATGTCGATAATGAACTTTTTCTTTTTATTAATATCCAAAGGCGAAAAAGTTTATTCGATCATATGCAAAAAAGATAACGAAAAAAAACAGTTTATAAGTCCTAATCTTATTTTTTGGATGTGGATGTGAGTGACGAGAAGACTAACACCCACATCCATGTGCACGTCCAAACACTCACACCAACACCCACACATTCGCACCCAAACCCACATTCATACCCTTTCGGTGTTTTCCTTTCAGATGTATTTCACTTCGACGTCCTCTGTTCATCTATATTATTCTTTCGACGTTTTCTTTTTTATTGTTTATATCTTCGTCATTAACATTTTCGATATTTTCCTATTTTTTTTTCGACTTTTCCTATTCAACATTTTTCTTTTCTTCCTTTTTCATCAATCCGATTGAAATTAGCTGAAGACGATTAACTATGCTAGTGGTCTATTTCACTTTGAACGAATTTCATTTAGACTATTTGAACATCATCATAAGCAACTGACTTGAATAAGTTTGACACAGAAAAAATTAATTTTCTGTTTCTTTATCACTTAACTATTGGGAACGTCAAATGTTGCCAGTGATAGATCTTATTCTTTAGAAACAAAGAGTACTATTAAACATTGTACCAAGTTGTTAGGATATGTTGACTGTATTGTTCTAAGAACATTCTTCTTACCAACGATTATCTTACTTTTTTTTCACAAGATATTACCTATTTCTTTCTCACTGTACGCGTGTGAGTGAGGATGAGGCCTCTATTCTACCTAGAATCAGTGTTAATTGTCTGAAAGGAAAAAGATCGAAAGAGAAAGATCGATAGATAAAGTCTCGAAAAGCAAGAATCTAGAAAAAGAAATCTCGAAAGTGTAAAATGTAAAAGCAACTCGAGAATGTGGGTATGAGTGTGGGTGTGTGATGTGGATGTAGGCACTATTAAAGCGTTGGCCTCCTACACCCACATCAACATCCATACCCAGACCCAGACCCACACACTACAAAGAAAAAGGTAAAAGAATGACTCATCAGTCATTCAGTGTCACTTGTTATTTTTCGAACTTTCGAGATTTTCTATATTCGATATTTTACCTTTCTAGATTTCGTAGCTCGAGATCTTGCACTTTGAGATTTTGCTCATTCGAGATTTTTTTTTGGGTCTTTTTCTTGTCGAGATTTTTTCTTTCGGGATTTTTTTTTCGAGATTTTGCCTTTCGAGCAATTCGCACTCGCGCTTCTACCTATATCCAACATCCCACATTTGCGCAATAATTTCAACATCATCAAAATCTATATGAAATTAACTTTCATGTTATAAAGCTACAAAAGTTTCCATACAATGCACGACCATATTCCTCAGCTAGGGAACTCCTGAAAAATACTCATCATCAAAAAAACCTAATCCTCGTCTTTTGACAAAAGAAATTATGCCAGCTTAAAGGTCATTGCAAGGACTATCAGAATATGTACGAATTTCGAAATCGAGTTTGCCTTGAAAAATCGACCTTTCTCGGAGATAGGAGTTCAATGTCATTTTTTTAAGTTCCAATAAAAACAAATCAAGGAAACAAGAAAATGAACAGAAACTTTTTCAATTTATTTCTCATCTTCTAATGCAGTCAGATATCCTTTGTACAATCGTTTAGTTTCAGAAGATTTCATTGTAACTAATTGTTTTGGTTCATTTAATTTTTCATATGTAAGCAATGTTGATATTTTTGGAATTTCAGTTATTATAGGTTCTTGAATCACGGATGTAATTGATGATTTATTAATACTTATGATTGAAGGATTTTTTTGTTTTTGTAATTTATTTTTAAGTAATGTTAAATATAATAATCGATCTTGCCAAATAAATAACCATGTAAGTAACATAAGAAGAACACCAAAACCAAGATCAAGTGAAATTAAAATTAATTCAATTTTTAATTCATGATTAATTAATGGTAAACAAACACCTTGAGGCGAATATTTTATTTTAAATGTATGTTCGAATTGTAAAATTTGATCTTGTTTTAAATGTAAATCTGGACAAAAATAGGAAAAAAATGTTTGTTTAAACCATTGATATTCTTGAATATTTGATTTAGAATATTTTGAATTTAATCCACAACATTGTTTTAATAATATTATTTTCCATACTGGATGTTGAGGTTCTTCAAAAAAGTTTATCTGATAATCATAAATAATATATAATAACATTTCTTGTTTTCTTTTTCACTATCAAAAAATAAAAAATAAATCTAACCTGTCGATTAATAGCATCAGAAAAAAACGATCGTTTCTTCTCGAACTCAGTTATTGTTCTATATATAATTGAGATAAATAAATATAGATTACGTATAGTTATAAGTATTGTAACAATGATGAGCATTATATACAACCAAAGTCGTTGTTTTTTTGTACGAAATCCATAGAGAATTACAAGTAAAATAAGAAAAAATATTGTATCAATAATGATAACTGGTATAAGAAAGTGACTAATATTTTTGTAAATAAAAAGTAAGAAAATAAAGATACTAGGCAAGAAAAAACTATAAGCGATGTACGAATAGAATAAACAAAGTCGAAGATTGTACATAGTAAATAGAAATAAATATCCGTGCTCATCAATATAGAAGGAAAAAATTACTATAGAACAATTAAATGGCGCTTTGAATAGTTGTTGTTTTCTGTAACTATTCATCGAAGTATTTTTTTTTTTAATAAATCCTTATTTCGTTTGAAATTCTTTCTTTTGAATCAATTAATTTTAATAGATCAAGAAACGATTTTTCAATTGATACAAAATCTCTTAAAATAATTAGATCGAAGTGAAATTGTTTCTTTGGAAAAATTCAATATTTAGGAAAAAAAGTGAATTTATATTATATAAAGACAATCATTTAAATTTCCAGTAGAATAAATGAAATAGTCATCGAATAAGATAATTATAAAATCAGTAAATTACAAAGAAAGTCTAACAATCAAAATGTATTATATGACAGCTGTATTCAAATTAGCATCAACATTATTTATGAACAAATGAAACATGAACAACAAACAAAACAAAAACAATCAATATTAGATATTTTGAATGATTTTGATAATGAATAACTCAAATCAAATGATGGTTGATATGAATCTATATTGCACTTTTGTTTACACTACCGCCGATACATCGCAGTACTTATAAGAACCGATAGTAGCGCCTACGACTATCGGTTCCAGCTATAAAAGATTGCATAGAGTATTTTCTACCCAAATTCGAATTATTTATCAGAAAGAATTCAAATTAAACGAGAAGAAAACAGTTTCAGAATATATTTTACTAATAAAAATTTATCTCATAACTGGGACTGGTCTAAGTTCTGTGGCTTGTACAAGTAGTACAGGAAGTATCAACAGTATTAGAGTACATCGAAAATAGCTCATTTCTGTCCGTTATAAGAGACTTTAAAAATATTCACCCATTTTGATACAATACACCATGATACAACACGTTCAAAAAACCGATAGTATAGTACACATTATGCCGATTGGTATACGGGCAGTAGTTTCTCGATAGTTATCACATAGAGAAGTGTACAACTGTATATATACCAAGTACAAACAACGCCTTAGAGGCAACCAATAAAATAATCAAAGATGATGGAATGTTTAGAGAACGTCATATGTTAACAAGATTTTTGATAATAGCTTCAAATATTGTCAATAATTGCTCAATTGAATAAGATTCGACCTCAATAAATGAAAAAGTATTTGCTACAGAATCAACAATGTCTTTAGAATTATGGATCTATTTCGTATCAATGAGCTCACTTAGCAAAAGACATAATTTGTATTTCTAATGATTCTTCAAAAACGTATTATATACCAGTTCGTAATTTACAATCGGACGCACAAGCCGATTTAAATAAATATAAAAATAAGAAATGGACAACTTGTAATCATTCAACTTTTTTTAAGAATTATATATGCAAACATGTTGTTGGTATGACTATCCGTTTAAAATATTCCAAACCACCAGCAGCAACAAAAACAGTGCCGATCGGTGAAGAGAAGAAAACGAGGTGGATTAGCAAAGGCTAAACCTGCTTTGCTAGTATAATAACTGAATTTTCATTTTCATTTTCTTTTTTTTTCATTTATTCTTTGAATTTCTATCTAATGTTCTTTTGGATTTCTTCTTATTTCTTCTATACTTTAAATTAACTTATTATTGTATTAAATTACTTTTTACACAAATAAAAATTATGCCTTCCTTATTTATTTTACTGACAAAAAAATTATATTTCTTTTTATAAATTCATTTGAATTTAGTAGAATTATATTATTTCATAAGAATCATTCAAAAGAGACTTAGTTACATATCAGACAAACATGTGATTTTTATATGAATTATAGCACATATACAATGCTAATAATCTGTTATTGTTCAAGCTTTATGTTTGACTAGCAATAAGAGTTGTCAAGTGTTTCCTTATAATCGTCTTGTTAAACGTACTTTTTACATCTAATATGGTAACATACACCAACTCTTACTTAGTTATTTTTTGCATAGAACCTTGATTTGCCAGATTTTATAACGTGTATGTTTAGCACAAAGCTAAACTCAAGGCTATCATAAAGTTCACACTAATATTTAGGGTACTGTAGTGGAAGAAGTTCCCAATCAGCAATCATTTCAGGGTTTATAAACCCATACACATTCATGTTTGCTCAAATATATACTGTGCATATTTACATACATATATAATTGCCTATGAAACAAGGAGCGTAGACAATATTTATATAAATAAATTTCATAAGAAGTATTTTTATCAAAATGATTAAAGGGAAAATCAGACAATTCTCTTCCATGGCAAGATGGAGCTCAAACAAAAATAGATCATTAGGATTATATAGATACTATAATGAGAAAAAAGAAACAACTCATATTTTTCTGATATCTGATCACCGCTACATAAACAAATGTAAGTTATAGGGTATTAGACACGATAAATATACACATATATTGTTTCTTTTATCAACAAATACTTGTTAAACATCAAGAATATATAAATAGATGTAAACTATTTTCATAATATGCTGATCATTTTCTGATGGAATCAATTAATGAAAAACAAAAACGATACTTTCCCATTGTTTTCATATTGATAAGACTATCGATATAAAATTCTACAAATTCCTTATAATAAAAGACATACTTAACATTGTCTTATGATGAATTATATATTATTCTATTGTGTCACTCTAATATCAAAATTATGATAGTTATATTTTATTATTCTTTTTTGAGATTTAGAATCGATCTATTAAAATAACGATGATTAATATTGTATTTAACTATAATGTAATGGTAGAGCCAGGAAATGGTTCAGTTCTCTTCAAGAACCTTTGAATTTGCTCTAGATATGAAATGATTCTATGTGACAGGCGAAACAAATGTTTACTTTTCAGTTTCAAACGGTGACTGAGCCACTCCTCTATAACTTTTTTCTGGCTCCGATACTACTATAAAATACTAAAAATTGTAAATTACTAATTATGTTGCATCCAAGTTTTGATAATATTGTCAATTTCATGATTTTGTTTTCTTGATGAATGATACCTATTATTTAAAAGAATAGAATCATAGTCTATCCTTCAATTAGTATCATTCAACGGTAGATAATAGCGGCAATTAATTTAGATAAGTAAGATAAATTTTTTTGTCCTAAAAATCTACTGTTAGATTTTTTTTTAGAGATTTTCTTCGTTGATATCGTTCTCTATTATACTAAAACAAATGAAAGCGACGGGTATACAAGGATCTATACAAAAGAAAATACGTTTTTTATATGTATATTCATTAATCAACATATTATATGACGATACATTGAAATATATTGTTACTATTTATAGTTTATGGTATGAATGGATAAAAAAGAAAAGAAAGAAACTAGGCAGTTAATATCAAGGATACACATTGAGTGTATTATTTATAGTGATCGTGAATAAATACTATTGCATATTTGTCTATGATCCTATATGGTATATTGAAATAGACACGTTGTTTCTTTTTGTGTTAATCGCATGCCAAGCAAAAATGAGATAGTAGAAATATTTTTCTTTAAAATCAAAAGCTATGAAATTAAATTTCTTTTTTTTTTTTTATTGTTATTATCAAAACGTAATAAATTCATAATCATCAATTTTATATATTTTAAAACAGCCTCTTAACGTATCACTAAACAACTTCTTAACCTTCAGGTTTAAGTAGTATGTTTGATAGTATAATACAACAATATCTTTTCAATTATTTACACAGCTGTAATAAGAGTTTTTCTTCTATATAGAAAAAAAAAACTCATCAATCTTCGTATTTATGAATCTTTTATTATTAATGTTAAATGCATCGTACAAAGTCTGATGTTTAAAATTTTATTAAATCTATGTTAGTTTTTCTTAATAAAATTCACATAGCTTTTTCACGAATAATACTTTCACGTACATCAAAACTATGTGCATCTGTATGTAATGTTACAATTTTATTATCAGATAATTTTCGAACTTTTAAAAAACCATATTCATCAATGCCAACGATGATTACTTTTTCTTGCCATTTATCAACAAAAACTTCTTTATTTCTATAAATAATAGAAAGTAATGTACATAAAAAGAAATAATAAATGCCTTTCATTATTTCTTACTGATGCATCCAATGGGATTCATAAAATTGATAGAAATTATTTATAGCAATTGTAGCTTGAGAAATATTTGATTGAGATAATTGTGAAACCCATTTTTGAAAATAACTAACTGTACGACCAATAAATTCTTCAATTGTAAAATGAGCTAAGTTCGAAGTTGATTTATGTTGATCAATAACATCATTCAAACAAATAGATGGTTGAGAATTAAATATATTAACACCAATACCTAGAAAAAAAACAAAATACATCGATTGAAATAGCTTTTTTTTTAAGTAAATAAGATTAAAATATAAACCAAGACTAATTGATGCATAATTCCCATTAATTGATGATGTTGCTAAAATACCACCTAATTTAGTAAAATCATTTCCAATAAATATATCATTAGGCCATTTGATTTGAACATTGAGTATCTAAAAATAGAAAAAAACAAAAACAAAAATTTATTATTCAATATTTACAAATATTCTTTAATAAAACTTTATGACTATCATACTTTGTACTCTGGTGTTCTTTCAATTGCTTGTAAAACAGCAACACTAGCTAAAAGTTGTAATAGAGATAAACGTTGTCCTAATAATGACTTTAGATCAATGTCAAAATCAATATTGAACAAAGCACAACCTAAGGGTGATGTCCATTGATTATTTCCACGTCCTATAAACAAGTAATGATAAATAAACAATATTCTCTCTTAATATCTTCCTGATCTACCTTGTCCTTGTGATTGTTCTCGTGCAACAACAATAGCTCCATCTGATGGTAGATTACAACTAAATGAAATATATTAATCTTTTGTTGCTATATGTGTTAAAAGAAAAAGAAACAATTGAGCAAATATCATTATAGGTGTTATATATTGTTTTCATGTAAACATGATACTTTGAAAGGAAAAATTAGAAGAGTAAAGAAAATACGAACGACATTAATCATAATATGAGGACCACGTAACAAAAAGATGTTAATAATATACAGAAAAACAAGTTGATGATTAGTGTCACTGTATGAATTTTTTTCTTTACCTTCGCGTGTCTTTGGATAAGAATCAATATGATGAATGAAAAAAAAAAAGAAAAGTGCACACACAAAATATTAAGCTACACACTACTATAGTTGACGAACGAAACATTGTTATTTTTTTTTTTTTTAATATGAAAAATCATCTTCGTTTTTTTATTTTCTTATGCTGTAACTGGTGCAGTTGTTGTTAAAAGTGTTTCTTTTGGTTTTACATGTATATTCCAAAATCGTTCAGCATCTTCAACTGATTTATTTTTTGTTTCAGGCATTTTAAACCAAAGAAAAATAACATTGAGTAAAACAAGTACCATAAAAATAAGAAATACATAACCACCAAGAATAGAATTAAGTGCAGGAAAAAATAATGATAAAAGAATATTTCCAACATAATTAGCAACTAAACCCAATGATTGAATACTATCTCGTGCTTCTGGTCGAGTAACTTCACTACCATATAAAAATGGTATTGGACCAAGACCAACAGCAAAACAAACAATAAATAGTAAAATAAATATAACTGATAATACACCTAATGTTGGACTACTTCGACTTTCATTTAATTCAACAAGTACTGTAAGTATAGCAAATACACCAACCATAACAGCCATTGGATAAATAACTAATGCACGACGACCAAGTTTTTCAATTAATGATATTGATACAATTGTTGCAAGTACATTAATTATACCTGTACCAATATTAGCATATGGAATAGAACGATGTGGAATACCAGCTTTTGCAAACATTTTTGATGAATAAAAAAATACAGCATTGACACCAGATAATGCTTGTGCTAATTGAAGAATGACAGTTGTTAACATTGGCCAACGATAATGAGTCGATCTAAGTACCTAATAAAAATAAAATTTATATATATATATATATATATATATATATAGAGAGAGAGAGAGAGATTTTTCTTTTTTTTTTAACAGTAAATTATAATTTTATAATTACTTGTAGAATTGATAATGATTCTGTTTTACCTCCACTAACTTGTCTTGTTTGTTGTCGAATAAGTTCAAGATCAGCTTGAATATTAGGTGTTCCACGTAATTTTTTTAAATCTTCTATAGCTTGTTCTTCATTATTATATTTTCCAATCATTTGTGTTGGTGAATTAGGTATAGGAAATAGAAGAAAAAGACCAATAAATGGTAATAAAAAGACAATACCAAGACCCCATGCCCAACGATCACATGTTCCAGCAATAAATGGTAAACCAACAACTTGTGCAACAAGAATACCGATTGTTAATGAAAGTTGAAAAGCAGCACCAGCTGCACCACGAACACGTTGTGAAGAGATTTCACCAATAAATGGTGGTACTACAACACATGCCATACCTCCTTCAAAAACAAAGAAAAGAAACATAATTAAATTTGAATTAAGTTTTTTTCATTATTTACCTTGATAACCAAGTAACAAACGACTTAGATAAAATAACCATGTTTTACCAAAATAATATGCCAATAAAACAGCAAGTGATGAAGCAAAACAAAATAGATAATTAGCAAACACTGTACGTTTACGATCGAATATATTCGGCCAAAATGGACCAGAAAGTGCACCAATAAATGCTCCAATAAGAAATACAGTTTGTGGAATACCTTTAGTTAATTCATTTATAAAACTAAATTTTTCTTGATGTTTTCTTCCACGTTTATGAGATCTTTCTTCTATCATATTATCATTTTCAGTGTCTGTAGATTCAACATTTTCATTATCAGTTTTTTCAATAATTTCATTATTATCTACGATTTCTGGAACTAATGTTGTTGTATCTGAATGCAAATGAGGTGTTTTATCATGAACACATGGATCTGTATCGTTAATAAATCGTTCCGTATAATGATTATACATATTTGGTGCACCTAAACCCCAACCAAATACAAATGCTGTTGTTAAAGTAAGAATAACACATGATATAAGTAACCATGGTGTACAACCACGTTGAGTGGAATCTTCATCACTTGTTTGAAGACGACTAACGGCTGGGTCAGTCGACATTTAATTTTGCTTTTTTTTTTAACTTAGATAATTAAACTAGAAAGTAAAAAACAAAAGAATATAAGTGATATTCATATGATTTTTTTTTCTTCTTAAATTACTAATCAAATTTTTTAACAAAAACCTATTGAAAGAAAAAAATAATGAAAAAATAAGAGAGTAAAGAAAAAGAAAAGGCTCTATGTTCCGAGTAGATACAACCTTACAATGACCTATGAGAGAAGATAGGAGAAATGAGAAAAAAAATGGCCTCGACCGCCGTATTCTCGCCTATTTTAACCCTGTTTCTACTCTATTCTAAGTGGAGAGAAAAGAGGACCATGGTTAGAGGAGCGTGCATCGACACATTACTTCTCTCTCTGTCTCTCTCTTTTTTCGCGCGATACATCGAGCTATTCATCTAATCCATCAAAAATCAATGTTCGGTCATTATTAACAATAACCAATGTGAATAGATAAGAAAAGACTGTATTCATGTATATACTCGAGAGAGAGAGAGATATAAATCTTTGGTTATTCGAATAAACAAGGCAAAAAAAGAAAAAATCTTATCTAGTACTAATATTCAATGAATAGATATATATATATTGATAGGGACCAACAACTAGAACCTTGCGGTTAGTGTTGTTGTCCTTTTCCTTTTCTCATGTGAATAATCAGGCAGGAGAGAGAGAGAGAGAAAAATATATATATGTATGGTCTTGCCGTTGACAAGGACGATAGTAACTGTACAATAAAGAAGCCAAATTTACTATTATATCATTATTTTTATCCTCGTATTTTCTTTCTTCTCGTTCTTTCTTTTTTTGGATTTTCTTCGCCAATATGTGACGCACAACAACACTTCTATAAGAGACGAACTAACAAAGAACGAGAAAAGAAAAACGTATGCAGATAAACTTGTCTAAGGCAAAAGAAATAAAATGTTTCTCATATTAAGAAACTATTCTACCAATTTCTTTTTTTTTTCTTGCTCTCGTTAGGATAAAAATCTAACTATAGAACTTATCGTAATAATGAATATGGAAGAAAACTTAAACAGGACACACTAATTGTTATACTGATGATGATAATAATCATAATGATGATAATAGTGATGATTTTTTTTCTTTTTTGTTCGATATCAAGGCATCGTGAAAGAGTGTGATAGCAACTGGTAAGAAGGTCATCACTGAATAAGAAGAACAAGACAAAAAAAAGAAACTTTTACTTAATGACACAGTACTTTATACACAAAAGAAGATGTTGGTCGATGTATAATAGCACTTAAAGTGCGAAAAGAAAGATAATGCATTCATTTTTTTTTTCTCAATTAAGTTGTTACAAACTGTATTAAAGTTATTTTTTTTCTATTTATAAATATATAAATATATGTATTTATAAAAGAAAATAAATCTATTCGACTTATACTTAGTAATTATGAATGCTTTATGATATAGATACGACTCTTTATGTATAAACGCTTAAATTCAATAATTAGCAAAGAAACTATGTGCGTATGTTTAATAGAACATTACTTTCTAATGATGCGTTATTATTTTTACTAAAAGATAGAATGATGTTAGGGTGTGTTCCAACTAAATGTGTCTACGTGAGAATGTATAGACGAAATAGAAATGAAAGCCGAAAGAACAGAAAAAAAGAAAAGAAAATTGTATTTTTTTATAACGACGCAGTCGATTTATCTCTGCTTTGCCTAGATCGACTAACAACTAATGCAATTAAAGGGTGCAGCTCCGAGAGAAGAATAGAATATAAGAAAAAAAAGAAACTGTACGCCTGATTATCATCTAAATCTAATTTTAAAATGACATACTCACTTGTTCGTTTGTATTTCTTGAAATAAAAAGTCGTTGCTACTTAAAGAATTTTTTCATCCGAAAACGTCCAAGTCACCATAGTTGTCATCGACTGCCATGATATTAAACATTATTATACAAAAAATAATAATAAACGCAAATACGAAGAGAAAAAGAAACTTGCAGAAACGGAAGACATTTCACATAAATTTTTCATATTTGCATACATTTCATAAATCAATATACTTACTCATGAAGTAATTTCATCGTTGTTGGTATTATGTCAGCTACTAGTAATGTTTGTCCAAATGATATAGGTGACATAATTTCATTTGTAATTGATGAAAAATGTTTAAAATAAGATGAAAAATCGAATAGAGATGATTCTTCATAAGGTACAACATCAGATACACATGAAAATTGTCCAGATGATACAAGACTAGCAACAAATGATTGTAATTTAGTCTATAGAAAAAAAAAAATATTTTAAATGAAAATTTAATCTCATGACATATGACTAATTAATTACCTTTTCAATAGATACAGCAGCTAATTTAGCTGATGAAAATGATGTATGTATTAGACGACAAATCCACATTATTATTATTTTCTATTTTGTAGTTTTGTTTTCTTTATATATAAAAAAAGAAAAATCAGGAAAAGAAACTTATAAAAAGGAAAATTGAATAAATTAATAACAATAAAATATTTTATCTACTATTATTACATAATTTAAAAAAAGAAAAATTTCATATAAACATTTATATTCGAAAGAAAAAAAAGAAAAGATATATTTTTCTTTTCTATTGAGTTCGTCTTGTCCATCGTAGACGAATTTTATTGTCCATACGATGAATTTTATCCGATGCAATTTCAGCTGCTTTTACTGTTTCTTTAACAGATTGCATTAAATTTTGTGCATTACCAATAAGCATTTCAGTTGCTTCAGCATCTTCTTCTGAGTCTAAAGAATAAAAATTGTTTTTTTTCTTCATAAATCAGAGAATTTAATAATGCTTGATTGAGTGTATCATTATGAATGTCAAATTTAAGCTCATGTCATGCATGTAAAATAAGGTATATTAAATAATTTTATTTTCATACTTTCTATTAATAGAAAAAAAATTTTTTTTTCTTCTACTTCAAATAATAGATTGACCTTCACGAAATCAATGGTATAAAACATGATTGAAGTCGTTTTGCTTTTCATCAAACATTAATTTAATGGTACATGGAAATGTTTATAGTGAGGTTTCTATTTATAGGAAGAAAAAGAAAGTGAATTAATTAATTCGTTGTTTCAGAGCTTCTCAAATAATAATTATAATGAAATTCAAAATTGAATATATAAAAAACAAAAAGAAAGGTAATTTCATCATCAAGAATCCATTGTTAAAGAATTATATTATTTTTAATTATAATATGATCAAACAAGTCTAAAATAAAAGTTTTCTAAATCAACTTGAAAATTGTCTACTATTATTTGATTGAAATCATTCTAATTAAAAATAAATTTATTTTCTACTTAGACTATTCATGCAAGTTAAGATTCAGTTGTTGTTGTTTTTTTATGTTGAAGAAAAAGAGAAAATATTTTTAGAAATAAATAGGATATTTATCGCCATCTGTTTTTTCTCTCGAGGGTAAATAGGCAGGATAGTAGAAGCATAGTTTTTGTGGTATTCTAAACAATTCTATTAGAAAAAAAAATATGATATTGAAGTAAGTAAATCATTGATCATTATAAAGCAGGGAGTCAATAAAACGGATGTATTCATGCTGCTTTCGTTATTTTGTATTTTGTCTTTCTCTCTTACTAATCATTGCTCGTTCATTTTTACTTAAACTACGTGGTAGATAATCTATGCATGTAAAATTTACAAAAAAGACAAAAAGAAAATTTTTACTAAATATTTGTTTACCATAGATTCCAAACATAGTTGCTTTGACTGTTGATAAAATTTTAAGTTGTGTACCAATTGTTGGTATACGTTCACTAACTTGAAGTAAATGCTAAAAAAAAAACAAAAAAAAAAAAGGAAATGAAATTTTTCTTTTTGTAATTAATACGAACTGTACGCATTCGTCGATCTGTACATTCTTTTGCTATTTGTTTAGCCAAATATGTTATATGTTCCGACATTTCCGCAAGTTCTCGTGATGTTGAAATTAAATCACGTTTTGTTCCTGTTTCACCCCTATATAATTATATAGTCAAAAAGAAATATTAAATAAAATGCAATATGATAAATAGTGTACCGAATAAGTAAACTCAATTGAGCAACAAAATGTGCCATTTTTTTTGCCAATGCAATAAGTTCATTATCATGACTTGAATATTGTTTTATATTGATATGTAAATCATGTGCAGCCATCTAAAAATATTCAAATTAATTCATTAATTTGCTTTTTTTTTTATTTAATTTATACGAAACTAGTATTGGTTGATTTGCTTGAGGTATTGGTAAATCTTTATCATAAGGTTCTTCATGTGTTGCTTCGAAAATTGGTAAAGGTGGTCGTGGTGGAGCAGCAGATGCTGATAATTCTTCATCAGATGGTAATGGTGGTCGAGGAGGTGGAGACTTTGATGCTAAAATTTATACAATCTTCATTACAAAAAAAAAAACATATCTGTGCAATATCAAACGTACAACTACGACTATCATGGCAAAATGAAATATGTGCTATTCCATTAACAAGATTTGTTGTTATTGGTTGAAGTATTTCACGTATATTTCCAATAGCATCAATTAACTATAATCAAGAAAAAAAGTCTATTGAAATTTTCAAATAAATATTTTCATACTTCATTATTTGTTTGTTGCCAGTTTGAATGCATAAGTTTATCATCTGGATTTAAAGCTAATTGTTTAGCTGCAGCAATCATTGGTGGAAAAGCTTAAAAACAACAACACAAGAATATTATGATAATTTCATTTACAAAAAAAAAAAACATTAATCAGTGCAGTTCCTTCGGGACTGACATGTCAAATTTGCATATCTTCGTTAGTCTCATTATACTAATAAAAAAAAGGCATAAAGTGGAAAATCTTTAGCATACAATAGTTGTTTTTCAAAGATAATCGATCGTCAGAAAAAAAAACGATCTCTTATTTATTTCTATATTTGCGAATAGTTTTTGTTTTCTTTATTGTTTTTCATTTTCGTATTCCATTTTTCTTAATTTAACATAATTTTTTATTCATAAACATTGATTGAACTGACAAATAAGCTTGCATTACATATCCATTATATATAAAACAGGTCTCAACGCACTATAATATATCTTAATAAGCTCATGAACACGGATATTGATTATTTTTCAAAGTTATAACTTGATCAATTCATGCCTTTTATGTTGATCATATGATGACTGGCAAATCTATGCATCTCTATCCATCATCCTTGACACCTGTTTATCTACGCAAAAATTACAAACCGCACTATTTAAAATATTCACAAATGTATTCGAGCTATTCAAATTTCAATGAAAGTTTTAGAATTAATGGCGTAATCAAGAATGAGCTAGGCCGGGTATTGCTCTACCACCAGGTGAAAGAAAAACATAATAATTACCATCACTGACACTATATTTCATGCATTTCTTCTGAGATTGTAGCGCACTGCTCTGTCATCGACGATCTGCTGGTTACGCTACTATTTGTAACGTTTTAGAACGGCCGAAGTCTTGTCGTTAATGCTGTTCAAAGGCTTTTTTCGTTGCTAATGAACTCTAGGTAAGAAGTTTGACGCCTGTTGTCCTTGTCAGAGTCCTATAGGGTAAGACTTTTTCGTATTCTATATCCTATCCTATGGACTTTCTACTTTAACCCTACCCTACTCTATAGATATTGTACTCTTCAACCTACTCTAAAAATCTCAGCTTTTGACAGATGTCAACATGAAGTTTTCTTCATTATGTTTTAGGATATTTTCTTCATTTTCAATAATAATTACATATAAAATAATCACATATTTCAAAATTTTCGTATGAAAAAATGTCACTTACAAGGTTTCAACTTAATTCTGTATGTTTAGTTATGGATGAACTTGCTAGAACTCCCAATAGCTTTTTTACAATATACTAAGTTGCAAACAATTCAATGACCATTTATCTCACCAGCCGCATACTAATTCTTCTTTAGCAAAACTTAATTTCGTTTTAACATACTAACCGACTTCTTTTAAACCAGAACGCTGTCAGGAATGTCTTCGAAATCGGTTGCCAACAAAACTCTAATTCTATCCTAAACATTTTTTTATATCACTTTTACTCTACAAGATCGTAGTCCTCGTTTGTTAACGTCTGTAATGGGAGAAGCCGTAAAACTTCAACTTCAACTTACACTCATGATTTCCTTCGAAAATATATGTAAATTCTGGAAAAATAAAATTTTCATGATTATTTACTGTCTTTAAATGTATTAGATGCTTGTCGAAGTTGTGTTGTAAATTTTGAATCTTCTGAATTTTCAATTTCTTGACATGCTACAAGTAAAATACGATTAGCACGTCGAATTATATTCGATGTACTATCAACAATAATTGAAGAATTTAAATCAGCTATAGCTTTTTCTGTTTGTTGTGTATCATGAATAATTGCTTCTTCTAAAAATAAAAAAATAATTCTTATATATTTATTTTTTATTTTCTTATTTAAAAATCAAAACAAAAACAAAGAACCGACCACAAGCTTTAACAAATTCATCAGATGGAATAGCTTCATCAACTTGACATCGTAGATATTCCATTTGTGTTATCCATTGATCACGAAGAAGATCAAAATGTTCTTGAGTTGTTGATGAACTAGTTGGATCACCAAAAACAATACGAGCTGCATATATAACTTGAGGTGTTAGATCATTGATCTAATAAAACAAAAAACAAAAAAGATTTTTCAAATTTTCTTTTTCTTTTTTCAGTGAATTTAAGAATTTCACAAACCTGTGAAGCAGTTACATTAATTGTTTCAATCGTTGATTTTGATCGACATGATGTTCCATTGGCAGCTAAACGTGCTGTTTGTGTTAATGTTGATGAATGATTTATAAAATCTTGTATAACTGCTTGAAATAGTTCTTGTCGATTTGGTTCATCTACAATGAAAACAAATTAATTGGATTTAAATTTTATATTTTTTTTTAAAAATTTTATTAATACCTGATGAGTGAAAAGCAACTTCACGTAATGTTCGTATTGTTGATGTAATATCCATAAAATCGTCGGATATTTGATAAATAATAGCTTCTTGTAGACGACATTGTAATTGATGAATATGTGAAGTTAAAGAACGACTTATCATAACACATTCTGGTCCATTAATAGGCTTGAAATAAAAGAAAAAAACAAAAACTTTGTTTGCTTTCGAAATAAAAAAAGAAAAGAATAGAAATTTACTAATCGTCTTCGTAATAAATCTTTATATTTTAATAATAAATTCTCGATATTAAGACAACATTCAAGAAGATCACGACGATAAGATAATTCACAAATACTAACTAATTGACGGCCTATTTTAATAAGACTTCGAATAGCAAATTCACCTAAAATTTAAATTAAAAAAATTTAATCAAAAAATATTCAATCATTGAATGATAATTTCAAAGAAAAGTCTATTTTATTTGTTAACATCAAAATATACTAAGAAGTTATCACAATAAGACTTTTCAAAATGTTTTAATGTTCAATGAAGATTACTCCTGACGAGGGAATATTTCCAAATGTCCGATCGCTTTTCATTTGAGACTATCACCATTCGATCGATCATAATTAGCAGTAAAAAACAAAAAAGTCTATTTTATTTAAGTTTTTCCGTCTTTGTTTGTTGGATTATGCGTGTTTTACTGAATTTTTACCTTATAAACATTGGATTACTGAGAATTTGAATGATCAAATTTCAAGCAAAATTTTATATACAGATACGTCTTACAGTCAATAGAAACATTTCAAGATTTGATCCAGGACGAACATATCCATAGTAAGATATTGACCAAGGTTCTCGATTGGGAGATTGCCCCCTCTTGCTAAAATGTCTGACTTTCTACCAGGTTTTTACACCTTCATGGTAATTTTGGACAGAAACTCGCTTTTGAAACACCATTTACTTTTTTCTAGCAGAAAGTGAAATAAAAATCAGCAGACAATGTATTAGCGAAGTGACTAGAATTGGAGCAGGCTCCGAAGGAGGAACGGTCTGGCATAATGCCCGGCGTGACCAAGTGTTTTAGTCACAGTCACAGTCACAGTCACAACCATGTTTACGTCTATTTGATCATGGTCATGATCACGGTCACGATAGATTGATCATGGTCACGATCACAGTCACATTGATTTGATCATGGCCATGGTCACGGCCATGATACGCGACCATGGATCGCAATCATTCTGTCTAGTTTATTGCGAGTCGTGATTTGATTTGTTGAACGATGTTTATTGTGATGAAAGTTCGATAAAAGCAAAAACAAATAAAAATGAGCCGATTATTAACAAAGAAGAAGAAAACTATATCCTTAATTATAATTGGTATCAGAGTTTTAAATGGCCTTGAACATTTTTTAAATAGTTTTAATACAAAAAGAAAAGAGTCACTGAGTTTTAGCATTACCTAGAATCGACATTGTTCTATCCTTTTACGAAGTCGATGAAAATTTCCAGTCGTGAGTTTTGAAGATGAACTTAATCCAATTTGAAAACAATATATGTTTTTTCAACTATAATATCATGAACAAATAGTGTAACTTCTTTACTATCGACCCACACAAATTCGAGATCGACGATGATTTGCGTTCCAAGACTATATAGGTGTTGCTGAAAGCTACTAACCTTGAGAGTGTGGGTTGTTGGTTTTGTCTTTAGCCATCACCACACCCACATCCTTTTACCAATGAGATACTGTACCTTGACTACTATAGAGATAGCCTTGACTAATATGAAAACATATAGGTGATAGAAACGCGAAGTTTTACTTTGACTGAAATGAGCAAATTGATACAAGAATGAATCTGTGGCTTAGATACGACAAAAATAATTAGTTGCATAAGTTATATTAATCACTGTAAGGCAATATTTAAAAGATTAATATTTATGTCGAAGAGATTGAAGTAGAACTATATGACCATCATAATGACAATTATAGCATTTATATTACAGATGATGCTGATGATTAACGACTTTTATAGTAAATATACGTAAAAATCTAAAAAATGGTTTTTTTCGGTTGATCGATTTGAATTCCGAAATTATTCTGATGAAAGCACTAATAAAATTAATATCTAAGAAAACTTTTTGAAAGTATTGATGCACTATAATCAAAATAAATTCTATGTATGGTTATTAATAACGTTTTTAATAGAAAAAAAAAACTTCGACGGTTAATTAATCATGTCACAATGTTGACGGCGGCTAAAAACTTATAGAAGGAAATATTTGTTAGCTGCTCAGAGTTTGAAAAAATTCTCTAGATGACCTTTGATAAAATCTTTATATTTTTGGAATGCAAACCATTGTCGATCTTGGCTTGACGTGTCTTGATATAGAAGAAGTTACCCTATCTATCCATTATATTATAGTTGAGAAAGCATATTGTTTTCAAAGTGGAATAAGGTCATCTTAAAAATTCTTGATGCATCCAAGAAGAAAAACGACTGGAATTTTTCATTGACTTTGTAAAAAGACAGAACAATGTCACCACTAGATAGTGCTAAAACTCAGTTATTCTTTTCGTTTTATTTTAAAGCTATTCAAATAATGTCCACGCTCATTTAACCTTGAAATGGTCATTAATTCAATTCGATTCAATGGAATAGTAACATATATGCATGCTTCCGTTTAACTGTATTTGTAACAAAATATTACTGTTATTATATTTTTGTCATAAGAGAAATTAGAATTTAAGAAAATTTAAAATTTCCTCCGACTCTCATTCTTAGTTTTAATTTGCTCTCGGAAGGTTTTAACATTTCCTGAGTTCTAATTTTTCCTGTAACATATATAATAAATAAATAAATTATTGTAATAGGCTAAGAATATGAAATTATTTGTGTTGCGGAAAACTTAATACAGTCAACACAGACAAAGAATATGTGACTATTTTAGTACCAGTGACTGTCCGTGATCCTAATGGTGATAACCGTGAGTCATGATAGGTTTTGTTCTTCTTCCAGGCCACCATTATTAGCACTCCAAGAACTTTCGTACTTTCTGCCGAACTTTTAGTCCTTCCACGTCTATAAAATATCGACAACCCTGATATTGACATATGAAAGAAATAACTTTCAAAATAGGGACGTTTCTATGGCATATTGATATCTCATTATGGCTACATTTGTCCTAGCTGAAACTTTGGAGTATTTCAAGTGACTATAAGGTTTATCTACGGATAAAACTTCAGCTCGAAATTCTATCATGTGGATTCTCAACGATTCTATGTTCATAAGACAAAAGTCTAGTAAAACACTCATAATTCAACAAGCAAAGATCGAAAAAATTTTACCAAATCGGAATTTTTTTTCTACTCATTATGACAGATCGAATGGTAATAGTCTCAGGGAAAAAGTAATTGAACAGTTATTTCTATTTCAAAATCGAAATATGCTTATTTTTCTACAAGAACAAAGTAAATTTCTCTTACCAAATCCAAATTGATCTAAATCTGGTTGTAAAAGCCATCGTTCTGCTTGATCAACTTTTCCATTAACAGTCGTTGCTGGTCGTTGATAATCAGATGTATATCTTAATATATTAATTGCATATTCTAATGATCGATAAAGATCATCAAGTTGTTGAGATATATTACGTGACAGACTAGTTGCTTCATTAGTATCACCCTAATTCAAAATAAAATAATAATATTCTTTGTTTGTTTTAAAACGAAAGAAAAAACAACAACAAATAAACATTCTTTACTTTCGATTGTGCTCTTAGTTGTAATAAACGATTCATCATTTGTGAAATAGCATCAACTTTTTGCATTAAAATATCTGCTTGTTTTTCATCAAGACAATGTTCAGTTATATGTATACGTAAATCATCAAGAATCATACGTAATGATCGTTCAGCTAATGTACCTTCTAATGCTTTAGAATTTGATAACCAATTTTTTGCTTGATATAAACGATTACCGAGAGTTTTCTATGGATCATCAGAAAAAAAAACAAGAAAGTAAAATAAATTAATTTAGAAAAAAAGATTTCATACAAGAAGTTTTTTTAAACTATGTTGTTCATCTTCATCAAATTCATTTAATAAAACATCATCAACTGTTATTAATTGAAGTATTCGAATTATTTCACCGAGTTCATCACTCACTTTATTTACAACATAATCACGATTTTCTATTGATTCAACAATTGTATGACCACCTAAAAAAAATTATTTCAATATATAAAATTAAACTTAACATTAAAAAGAAGAAGAAAACAAAAAATATTTTCACCCGTATGTTTTGATGTTATATAAACATTAATACTTGAAATTAATAATGGTGTTAAAGTTTTAACTTGTTCAAGTGATCGAGTTAATAATTGACGATGAATAATATGAGTTAATTCATTTATACGTAAATCAACTTCTTTACTCATTCGAGTTAGTATTGGTGTTAAATTCTAAATTAGATTATATTTGTTAATAAAAATTAAACAAACAAATAATCATTAATTGATAAGTTATTAAGAATAGCAAATTATATTAGCACTTACTTATATTTTCTAAGACTTAAACAAAAACATAGAGTTTTTGTTTTATTTAAAAATTCTTTTAAAAACAAAAAATAAAATAAAATTTACCTTAACAAAATCAACAAGTTGTTCTATTGTTTCGATCATTTCGACATATGATAAATGATTGAGAACATGTTGACATATAATAACTATCTTCCGTACTTCAGATTCATCAAATGTTAAAAGTAGAGCTGATATACCTTGTAAAATACCTAAAATACATAATTTAATTAGACAAAAAAAAAAATAATATATCAAATTAGTTTTTTAATATATTTACATCGTGCTCCTTCGATTAACATTTGACGCCCTTTGATTGAATATGGTTCATGTTTGAGTATATGAGCAGCATCAATTAATAATGTTGATGCTTTATTAATACGTACTAATGCTTCTGGTATATCGGTACGTAATAGATCATCTGTACTTGTTAGACATGTTTCATGACCAACTTTAACAAGATTATCAACAGCTGATTTAACTATTTGAACAGATTTTGAAAGATCGGGTATAAGATTATTATCATCTGATGATTCTTCATGTAAAATAACTAGACGAGATACCTGAACGAAAAGAAAAGTAGATTTTAGATGATTAGTTTATTTTTTTAATATTTTAAAATGTAATTTATGTATATATATATAGTAATATACCTGTTGTGCTACGGGTTCCAAAATACTTTCAATAGTTTTTGTATGAAACACGGGCATAGTTATACTTGCACGCGTTTCTTGATCTATACTAATAATAATAATAATAATCTAAAATTGTCAAAAAATAAACAGAAACACAAAAAATATTAATCATAACGAAATAACAAATGTACTCGCCTACGCTTAACAAGTGTCATGTTGGTGATAACAACTACTTCCTCAACTATATATATAACAGATATGTCACGACCTTCCGTCGTTGCAGCATATCTAGATCATTTCTTTCTCTCTTTTTCATCCCTTCATGATACTAAATGCATTAGCAGTAGGAGGTAATAGAAATAACACTTCTCATTCGATAATTAGAAAATGACAAACATATTGCTGTATGTTTAAGTTAATCTGATTCACATGACTGACACAGACATCAAGGTTAAATAGTAGTCTTATCAAAAAAAGATAATAGAATAAATGTTGTATACATGAAAGATCTGACATTTTTTTCTTAATTGAGAATTATTCTCAATAGTTTTCTACATAAATTCATTCATATAAAATTGTCTTAAACAATTCATCCATTCAAAATATTCTTTACTTGTACATATAATATTTTTAAGCAGAAAAAGAGTATTCTTTTTTTTTTTATAACCTTTATTATTCTTTTTTTTTTCCTACAAAGTTCGTGTAGAGCAACATATAATATAAATACAATTTATAAATCAGCAGTAAATCATAAAAGTTAAATGATATCACACAAAAGATATCTATAAGATGGAAGAAGTTTTTTTTTTTTTTCCCGTAATATGAAACTATTCTTTTAGCTTTACAGTTATAGCCTTACAAAACAATACGCCAGATATAAAAACAAATAGGGAATAATCATTGAATACATAAAAAACGAATAAAGAAGTCAATCAAGAACAATTTCTTCTATACCACTATCATGATTTTTGTCATTACTAAAAAAATAAATAAATGAATTTAAATTTTAAATTTTTCTTACGTAGAAATCTTGCCAAGTTATATATATATCATTTTGGAAATAAGTCGTATCTCATCAGATAGATCCTATTGAGACTTAATAAAGATTAAAAGAATTCGTATTCTTTTTGATGAATTTTTCAACAAAAACTGTGTTCCGCCTGAAGTTAACTTTAAATTCGGAATTGAAATAGATCATTGTGAAAATATCTAATTTTTTTAAATATTTTCAGATAACAATATTGCGAGTTCTGTTAAACAAAATACTAAAGTTTGTCCTTTTATAAATAGCTCACAAGAGAAATATCCCAAGTGATACCAGCCATTTGAACTCATATTGGCCTCACACGCAAGTCTCAGCAAGAATTGCAGAAGTCTAAAAGGTTCAACTTTCATAAGTCTTTTGCACTGACTTATAATTGGTTTCCTAGTCTTTCGATTCATTTGTAGATAATTCCCAAAAAGTCAAATGACAGAATTTCGAGCCAAAGTTTCGCATATATATATATATATAAGTCTAATGACTTTTAGAATATCCTGAAAGTTTCAGCCGAAAAGAATGTTCCTCCGGCAAGATATTAAATTTCCAAAAATACCCCTTTGGTATAGACATGTCACAAACATCGAGTTCACTTGAAAATTCAATAACTTGACGAAGGAACACTGCTTTCAGCTGAAACGTTCAGGATATTCTAAGAATTATTATACTGATCTATAGATAGAATTTTGCATCAAAACTCCATCAGGCGATCTTCCGGGAAGTACCTAAAAATGGATTAAAAGTTCAGTAAATCGGTCATAACTTGGTGCCGAAGGCCGATGAGGACGAACGCTTTTAGGCTTTTGCTATTCTCACTGAGACTTGCCTTTGGGTTCAATATGAACTCAAACGACAGGTGTCACTTGGAAGTAGTTTCCTCAACAGTATACGAGATATTAACAAGTAGGACATATTCACTATCAACTATATACATTCAAAACTTTATTTGTAACGTCAATTTTCAAGATAATCTGAGGTAGAACACGACATTTTTTTTTGGAAAAACTCACTAGAATGATCATAAGTTAGGAAAAAAAGATTCTATAGACACGAATCCTTTTTTGATTTTCTCTAGCCTTAATAAGATTTACTTAATGAAGTAAAATCAGGGTAGAAAAGCGAAAATTTTGTACTTCAAGAGTACGTCAAAACTATCCTTGAGAATATCTTAATTATTGCAAGTCTACGATTGACCTGTATCATATGTATATTCGTTTCGTTTCAATCTATACAAGTCTATTGGACACATCATACTTAAATACTTTATTGTACTTCAAGATCACGAGAGAACTCGTCGAACTGTTCTATCGCTATTGAGTCAAGACTATGTCTATTATGTAGATATTCAAATGAGCTATGCATACCCTGAATAGTTTTTTGTGAATGTTTCAGATCTTGTCGCTGTTCCTATCCTAAGATACAACTATGATAATAGTGTGTCTTTCACAACATTCATATATACACCAACAGATTTAATATTCTTACTTCAACATAGTATCAAATCAAAAGAACTGAAACTACTCTTATTAAGATCTGTTTCTATAAAATAGAAATTCGAAAATCAGTTTTTCTGTTACCATGACATTCATTTAAAAAATGCCTTAAAAGTTCAGTATCTCCGTACTAAAAAGCTAAAACCACGAACTCTTTTCAAGGTGTGCATAGCTCTTTTCATTATACATAGTCCCCGTAGTCTCGACTAAAAAAATGATTCAATAGTTAGAAAACTTTCCTCGTTAGAAAAGTATGACAAAATAATTACGTTTTTTCTTTATCAAAAAGATTCATATAGAATGAATTTAAACTGAAATATTTAGTTAAAAAACTTGCAGTAGTTAAGAATTTTTTCAGGATAGTTTTAACGTACCGTTCGAGTGCGTTAATGTACGGAATCATCACTTTTCTCTTCTTAGATACGACTCATCTTAAAAATGATTTATCATTTGGTAAGATTTCCTTGTTAGATTTTTTTGTTTCCTTTTACTTGTTTTTGTCAATCATAATTTTCTTCTCATCATCAGTATTAATCAATTTCATATTCATAAATAATGATTTATTTCTAATATGTAAATTTTTCGATGATATCGATTGATATGCACAATCAAGAAGATAAACAGATGATTTATCATTAGAATGTGGAACAATAAAACCATTAGAATATAAGCTTGAAAGAATATCTTTTGGATGAATAAATGTTTGACGTGCAAGATTATCAAGTGTAATAGTTTTAATTGACGATTGATTATGATTAATTATATGAGTCAATACAATATCACACCAATAGTTTCGAAAAGCAGACAACGATGTAATATCAAGTGGACGAGCAGGTGAACTATATATCAGATTTTCGGAAGCATTTGAACGAATAAGAAAATAGCTAAAAGCAATTAATAATTGATTGTATTCTTGATGTTGAGCAAAAGGTGGCAATATGAATAAACAAGATAAATTATTAATGGACGGTTGAACATGTTGATTGGCTTGTTTAGAAAAGTAACCAATAAAACGATAGAGAAAAGGCTGGAAATAAGAAAAACAAAACAATTCCAGATTTCATTAATTAACATTATATAATTTGTTACTCAATATTCTAAATCCTTGACAAATAATAATGACAACTGCATAAATTCTCCATTTGAAACTTTATAAACAAAAAAAAAACAAAAGAGCTTCTATTTGCCTCATCAAATAATGTTATCTGTATTTTGTAACATGCGTGTTTTAACTATAGAATTTTTTTTAACAATGAAATTTCTTTAGACTAACAATTGAAAATATTTATCGATAAGATCAGGTGATGAGATCTTGAAAAATATGCACAAAATAACAAAATCTAATTTTTCATTTTAGTAAACAATTAAGAAATATTAAAAATAAAAGAAATAACAATTGTTATTTTATTTTCAAAATTATAAACTAGAATCTGTAAATAAAAACTTAAGAGTAATAATTCATTTTGATAATACATACAATATTACAATTATTCATGTCTTATCAAGATATTCTGGTCTAATAATAGTAAATATTAAACGTTCTTGATCGAGTAACTACGATAAAATAGTATTAGTTGACTCTTATGTATTGTTTACACGATCGACAAGATTTTCATAGAATTTTCTTACTGGTATTTTGATTAGATCACGATTACAATTTATTATATGAGCACTATGACATTTAATGATAATAGCATGCGTAGCATTGATAGCAAAGTTATATGTATGTATGCATGCGATAGCGAAAATAAAGTTTTTTTTTTAAATAATTTTCACGATGTTAGAAATTTTCTTTTTGTGGATTTGACAATCTCGAACGTACGAGTCGATCTTATATGGTAGAAGAAAACTTGACTGAAGTACACATGTTTGAGGATTAATGAGAATAAACTATTCTGATATTGAATACTTATGTTCTTTTCTGTGAAAAATTACTATTCTCAAAACGAGCTTAGCTTAGCTTAGCAAGATCAAAACCTTGAAAGGATTACATGTCTTCTATAATTACAATTCGTAATTTAGCGAATAAGACACAATCATACGGTTACTTACAATCTATCTGAACATTGTACTTATTAAGATTAATTTGAACTATTCAGGATATTGATTCTGTTCGTTTCTTTTTAAGTGACAAGTAGATTTCGTTATTTCATATGCATTTTTCGTATGTCCGATCGAGATAAAATTCATCGATTGAAACAGATGTTGAATATCGACTTAACTTTATTAGGTGAGTATAATAAACGATTTAGTAATGTTGTAAATAGAAAATTTGGTTTTGGCATCATAAAAATAAATACGAACTAGCCCTCATATAAAGCAAAAAGTGTTGAAAATCTCAAGAATTCAATGTATTTGACTTATCTGTTAGTATTATATAGAAAAAGTAATGTTCTAAAACATTTGGTTTCTTATATGTACAAATCTTATCAAATTTTTTGAAAAATGATGATGCAGCTGTTATTCATCCAAATTGACTAGAATCATATTATTCTTATAAATATTTATTATGACATATGCAATATCTACTCGAGGTCAAACTTCTAAATGAAAAACATGCGAAGGATACGAATATCAATCATGCTGTAAATAAAACGACTCTTTAATTAATTTACTAAACACATAATATCTACTATAATTCTATTTCAGAATGTAATACAAACAAAATTCGTGTGTAGACTTATTTTCATAGCAAAAAAAAAAAAAAAAACAAATAATTTAATATTTTGTGACTTTAGTAAATTTTATTTACCTGACATTCTGATAAAATTGGATCTCTACGACATAGAATATAATAAGTAAATCGATCAATTTTTGTATCATCAATACTTTTATTTGAATCAATAAATAAACGAGCAATACGACATAATGATTTAATATAAATACGTTGTTCAATATTTAATTTTGTTTGACCAATTTCAAATATTGCTAAATCATTTTCATTATAAACAAGTTTACCTGGTGGTTGAATAGATAAACATTTAGAAGTATGACGTTGAAATGCAATTGAACTACCATGAAAATGTTTTAAACATATATCACATGCATAAATTATTGGAATCTTAACAATAAATAGATAAGATTAAATACAAAATTCGATATATATAAATATATTATTATTTACTTTATTACTATTCATTGGAAAAGGAACTTCAATTTCATATCGACCAATATTGAAAAATTGTTTTTTAATTAATGAAGGTATTGTTTGATATTTATTCGTTGAAAACAATGATGCAGATTGATGAAATAATTTTTTTGAAATTTCCATTGAATTATAATCAATATTATATTCATTTTCATTAATATTTGAATTCATTTGTAATATTAATTGATGAATCATATCAATATTTGTTGGTAATAATGTTTGAGTTTCACATTCATTGTTTATATTAATTTGTGAATTTAATATTGTATTATTTGTTGTCGTACGTGAAAATGATGAACATGGTGTATCATATAGAAATGAAGTTGTTGATGTTGATGAATATCTTCTTCGTCTTCCAAAATTTGAACCAGGTGAAAAATTATTAATTGAATTATTAAGAATTTGTTTTGATATATTGTTAGATGGTGAATATATTGAATTAGAATTTTTGATTGGTGTAATAGAAACATGGTTTTCATTTGTTGAATTTAATGAATCAATATGATTATCGATTGGAAGTCGAATAGGAGATGGTATTATTGGATTAGATTTTGAGTTTTTTAAATGATCTAAGAAAAAAATTATATTTATTAAGATATAAAAAAAGGCAAAATTTGAGTAAATTTGTTTTTCTTATGCATGGTTAGATAAACTCGATGAGTCAAGTCATAATATATATTTTATTACTATTTTTTTCGAAAGTACAGGATGACCCATTTGTGTTCTAAAAGTACGTTTTTCATACTCGAAAAAATGAGTAGAACAATATTGTTTGAAACAAAAAAAATCACCCATCCGAAATAGTATCGGGTATATATGAAAAAAGTTTCAGCTTGATTAGAATACCAGGCTGAAGAAACGGAGGCGTTTCTACATTTTTTGTCATGAAAAAATTTGTTTTGAGAAAAACGTGAAACAATGCAGAATTTTCGCTCTATTTCTGTTATGTCAATTTGATTTCTTCTCGAATTTTTTTAACATTTAAAGACAATTTTTGGATTTCAAAATATACTCTGGGCTATATAATGGCCACAAAAAAAATTTACATCACAAAAGGAGAGAGGGGTATCTTTAAACTATTGTTGTTTTGTTTTTAATTTGACATTAAATTATAAAATACCTTTGGATTCTGTATTAGAATTTTGAGAATGTTTAGCTAATGAAATTATTCCTTCTCGATCAATTGTATTTTCTTCTTCTGTATCAACATCAGGTTCAATAATAAGTATTTCATCGGATTCCGTTGGCGTGTTTACTATAGGTTGTTCGATTGGCACTATTTGTGATCTATATAAACAATAAATATAATATTCAAAAAAAAAATCTATTCACTTCAAAATAAAACATACACAATTGGTTTTTGTTGATTGATACTTAGTTTTCTAACGGTTGGTTTTCGTACAGTAGGTTTTCTTTGTTCACCATCAGTTGTTGTTGTTGTTTGAGATGAAATAGTTGTATTATCATTTTGAGATGATAATTTTTTATGACATCGATAATCAAGAAATTGAGATAGTTCATCATTATCATTATCATCATCATCATCATCATTATCAAATGATTTTTTTCGTTTAGATTCATGATTTTGTTGATTTGTTTCATTCAAAGGAGATAATGTTCGTTTAGATTTTGATTGATTAATAGATTGACTATTATTTATATTATTAGCACGATTTTGTACAGAAGATAAAGACTGATCATGAGGCTCTTCTATGAATAAAAATAATTAGATATAAAATTTAATTATTAAATAAATAATATTCACTTGAAAATGGTTTTTGTGGTGAAGTATATTTTGTGATAAGATCTAAAGTATGACGAACATAAGCATTTCGATTGGACGATGACATATTTGATGAGTATCTAAATGAAATTCATACTATTGTTTGTAAATAAATAAATAAATAAATAAGTAGTACGTGTCACGTTTTTGTGATTGTATTTCAGTTGGTATAATAATAATTTCGGATTCTGTTTGAATTGTATCATTACTTGAAAAAGAAAATTTTAAAATTGAAAAAAAAAAATTTTTTGTTTTTGTTTTGGTGAATAATTACTGTTCATTAATAGTTGAACATTGTTGTTGTATTCGTTTGGGTACATTTGGATAGATTAATTTTTTTTTTGCTGAAGATCCAGATGATGATGATGATGATTGTGATGTTCGACATAATGATTGTCTATGAATATTCTTCTTTTTTATATAGAATAATAATTGAAATTGATTATTCTTACTCATTATTTTGTAAAAGATTATTTTCAGATGATGTTGATGATGCTGATGATTTTCGATGAGTATGTTTTTTATGATGGTTCATTATTAAAAAACAATATTATTACTACAAAACAAAACAAAACCTATGCATTTCTGTGGCAAGCATATTGTTTACTGTAAAAAATAATATGCAAAATGATTGGTAGATATTATTCGTCACCGATGATCTTATATGTCGGGAGGGCGCTATTGTTTAGTATATGAGACAATAGTTTTTATATCAAAATACTACGTTATACCATAAAATAAAAGAATAATATTAAGATATTTTGTTTATTATGTCTAAAAATTTTCATGATTTATTAGAATAGAAATATTTTGGTTATCTCTAGTAGAACATATATATTATAAAGACGTAAAATGTATTTACTAACGTATGATTACAACATCATTTGAATAGCTTCACTGGAAGACTATGACACAAGCATAGCAAGAAATGATTGACAGAGACATTCGTTTTCTAATAATAGTATGATAAATGTAGTATTCTTTTTTTTTTGATTGATTGTGTCATAATAGGAAAACTTGTTATTCAATAGTTGGTTATAAATGATACAATAACAATCATATGACGAACACAAATATATTTCATTGGTGTGAGTTTATACGAAATCTATTCATTTATTGTAATCTAATATATATATATCTAAATATTGAAAAATGAATGAATTCAATTACATTTCAAATACTATTAAGAGGATATCGAGCGTTTCTTGAGAAACTATAAATATTCTTTTTTTTGAAGTATGACTTTCATGAAAAGAAGGTTGATAAATCTGTAGACATTTTTGAATTCTCTTTCTAATCTATTTAATTTATATTTATTTTCAATAACGTGACTTTTCGTTGTATAGTATAAAAATCTTCTCAAATATAATTTTACAAAATAAACTGTACTTTTTCACATGAAGAACACATTTATATGTCTACAAATATTTACAAAGAAACAAAAAGCTCAAGTAAAACATATACTGATCCATTTTGTTTTTTCATTTAATAATGAAATGGAACAAAAATGGTACCAGTAATAATTTGGATTTATGACTTATTTCCGTATTCGAGACAGCTTTACACCGTTTCGTGGCTCCAGTGCACATCGATGTAATATTGAGCAAATATGCATGTATTACACCATGCCTGAGTTTGGAACGTTTGGGAATAACAATGAAGAAAAAAAATGAATCCGTTCACATAGCAAAAACGAAAGAAATGTGCAACACGCATAAGCGTGAACCATAGAACAAAGTGAAGCGAGATTATCTCGTGTTTCTCTATTTCGTATCACTATTAAATGAAATAAAAAGAACGTATGAGTGTATTTTTTTTTTCATTATTTTAAATAAATATAAATTAATTTATGTTAAGTTGATTAGTACGAGACTTCAAAATGTCTATACTATTATTTCTAACTTAATAGATCGGAGTTAAAATCGACTAAATAAAATCTTATACCTGAAATCTAATGAAATCAGTGATAATTAGTAAATAACAATGTTAATGCTTATATGATAAATTAGAAATGGTGAAAATATTGAAAATGAAACGGATCACTTATACATATTTTCGATTGAGATATTTGATAATTTAAATAGATAAGAAATCAAATATCATTTATGCATCAATAAAAAAAAATTCAATTATCAATAAATAAATAATTGTAAACATTGACCTAAATTTTTTAAAGAAAAATCTATGCGAAATGCTATAAATAGATTTGAAGCACAACTTTACTAAATAGTACCAGTTTTATTTACGATAGCATCTAAATCTTACACTGTATATAAATAAAATGTAATCAAACTGCGTTAGTTTTATTTTTGACATTTTTATTTTTAGTATAGTTTCTTTGTATGACATTAATCTATGCTATTGTAACATTTACAATTATTGTCTATGTGTAAATATGGCATTTAAAGGTAAATACATATGTTTGAACGTAACATTTTGAGTTTTAAATCAATATGAATAGTTATATTTGAGGTTTTTGATATATAATCCAGTTCGATTGACAATTCTTGATCTCCTCGAGTCGTAAAAGTTGACAGAGCAATGGATTTTGGAAATTTATACTTGGCAATGAAAAAAACAAAAGAATTATTATGACAACCTTTATCAAGTGTCAAACTTTGATATTTTACATTAATTTAAATATCATTATCTTGTCTTTATTTCTTTTCACATACTTTATTTTTCATAATCATGAACATTGTATTCATGAATATAATTCAACTGCAAATTTGCAAAAAAAGAAGTGATAGATCGAAAGTTTCTAGACATAATATTTGACTATTTTTCGTATATGTAAATGCATTCGTGATGTACTAGTATCAGAATTTTGTGCTCGTTCTGAATGTATGCTCAGAATGTTTCTATAACCTTTGACTATTGAGCTGTAAGTGACTCTTAAAACAGCTCAAAATATATTTTTTTCCATGGAAAAAAGTTTAAATAGAACTTGTTCGAGAAATGCCATAGAATTTTATGAAATATTCTGAAGAATAAAGCAAATAATTCTCTAGAAAGCAATAAATTTTTTGCAAATTATTAAAGTGTAGTAAAGGTGTGTCTAGCTATTGCAAGAAAAATGGCTATTTTATATGATTTTCGTTTCTTCAGCACAAAATTGACCTTCCATCACAACTCAGACACTTTTTAGCGGATTAACCAAAACTTCTCATTCTTGCGTTATTTTGTTGAGTAGAGATCACCCTTAAGTACAATATATCTATAGAACTTCTTTGATGTAGATTTGTCTTCAGAAAAACGAGGTTTTTGAGTTCAATCAAGATTTACTTATAGTTTGATAATCAAAAGTCACAGAAAAATTCTAAGCATATATTCCTAAAAGAGCATAAAATTCTGATTCTGGTATAGTCATGTAGCCAATTTTTCGAAATAATAAACATTGCAGTGCATTATTTTCCAATAGACACTCAATGTATGTAATTATATGATAATGCAACTTATTTCACGCATTATAATGCATCTTTTGTATCAACCCATTGTAATGCATGAATATATCAACGTGTTATAGTGCATTATTTACATCAGCGCATTATTATCCATTATTTACATCAATACATTATAATGTATGAAATAGGTTACATTATCGTGTAACTGCACACATTACTTTTTATAATGCATTTTGTTACATTAAGAGCTCCATACAATATACACTCATATGACTAGAATGCTATGATTATGCTCTTCAATCTGTACCCTTATCCACATACTTTTATCTGTATACCCCTACATTTATACCTATATAACTTGACCTCGGATTACGAGTTTTTGAAAATATAGAAATTTGTAAAGGATTTAGTTTTCTAAATAATAGGATTTTCACTAAAAAATGACAAAAATATGAGATTTTTTTATGCATCATTCCTACTCAAAAGTTTTGCTAACTTCGCTGTTTGAGATATCGTCTTAACTGAGTTAACATGAACGGTTGCAGCATTATCAGGATGTCTATCTCATTTCTTTCTACCAAAATAAAAATTTGATTCAATTATCGTTGAAAGTTCAATTAGAATTTGTGTATTAGCAAATAGAAAAAGTAGACCATAAAGTTTGAAAAGATAAGCTAAGTAAAAAGAAGGCAAACATTATTTTTCATAGTTAACTCTGAATAATAAAAATAATTCATTTATGCAACCAATATGTATTTATATGCTTTATAAACGCATAAATACGCATCCATATATACATGCAAGAGGAATGAAAAGTTTCAAAAGGTATATAATCATTTAGTAAATATTAGTTTACTTGGTTTGAATCTTCTTCGACCATTTTGGACTTCCTCCTTCCTGTGACCTAACGTGATTGCTGAGGCGCACCTCCCCTACAATAAAAAAACTTTCCAAAAACAACTTCTGCAAACTTCCTCATTTTTCATGAAAAGTAATGACCGGCGGGGGTGGTGGCGCGGCGCAGGTCTCCCTATCCTCCTTCAAGACTAAGCCAAACTATGGGCAAAGTTGTCTCAAACGACGAAGACCAGCGATTTTCGAATATTTTCTACTTTTTTTTTGACAAAATATAGGAAAAATAGGAAAAGAGTTCGAAATATAGGACAAACTATAGAATTTTTCAAAAATATAAGAATTATAGAACGAATTCAGTCCTAGTACCTTATAACTATAACCCCATACTTGTATCCTTATCTCTATAATCCCATACCTATATGATTATCCCTATAACCTTAAAGTTCTGCTTATAACTATGCCCCTACATTTATACTCTTATAGTCATATCTCTATATCTATGTCCTTATCCCTATAATCTTATTACTATATCCCCATACCCACAAAATAATGACTCTACCGCTCAGCTCTGATATTATTGGTACGTTTACGCACTTATAACTATATCTTTTTCAGTATACCTTTAGAATTACGTACTTATGAATAGATGTTATGACTTTATCTCAAGAAAACCAAAACAAAAGTTCGGTATTTCGTCGTACTTGAACCATGCGTCAAAGGGGTACTGGACCATATCCCATATATTTGAAGTCTATTATTCATGGGATCTCAAATATATTAGGTGAAACTAATTAATTCTGTAGAAATCCATCTCTTTCTAAAGGGCACGGGCGTGAGTATCTTATGTTATTATTCGAAGGTCGTTCATAGTCGACATATCGCTATATGTTACACTGATCGTTAGTGGCGTGAGTTCGTTGTTTACAGTGGTCTTAATGCATCGTAAAGGTTCGATTTATGATTGCGGTAAAGAACCAGCTCAATGGTTGCCGTTTTCCGTTGTAATCGAACGGAATAGAGCCGTACATGATCGTGAGCAATTCACGTGAATAGCGACCACACTGAATAAATGCATTTTGTGTGTGAACGTATCAAAAGAGTTCGTACTTTTTATCGATTTTCTAACTTGCTAGAGTACTCTTGAAAAAAGTGTAATACACAGAGAACTGTTACATCGAATAATCTCAAACTTTTCAAACCACTTTTTCTCAATCTCTTTTTTAGAAAAATAATGAGTTCTCGAAATTTAAGATATTGTACTAAATAATGCATTGAAATGCATTGAGAATTCACTACCTTATCAAAAATTTTAACATTATTTCGAATAATGCATGATAATACATTGACATTTAATGAATTATCGATCGTTTAACATTATTTTCGCCAATGCATTGCAATCCATTGGAAACACAGAAAATAATTAATTAAAATGCATTATTTCATGTATTTGATGGAATAATGGAAAATAATGGGTTATTTTTCCATTATTTGTTCTTTATCAGCTACATAGGATTCTGATAGAATGCAAAATGTTCTGAATACTTTGTTTTATTTTGTGACAGACTGCATATGAAAGTATCGTATAACAACAATGATACTTTGTAGTTTTTTGTTATTTTTTCTTCTTAGTACTAAAGTTTTGTTTTTTATTGTATTTTATATTCTCAGGAGTTTTTCATATTAAACACGTGTATACGTCACAGTTGACATGAGAATTCAGTTGAGTTTGGAATGCATGTTAATAGGATGAGTCACACAATAATTAATGTTTATTTACTATTGTATTCAACTTTTGTAATTTAAGCGATTTTATATGATTGGTCGAGCTTCTATGATTTATTTTGAATTATTTTAAAATATTTACATATAGAAAATTTTCATTTTTAAACATTCTTATTTAGTGATTATTAGAATTTTATGAATTTTATTCATCTCCTTATAATTAATCGATTGATGTTCGTTGCTATGGAACATCTGATCAAGAAACACATTCTATGTCTGCTTGTTTTTAATTACATAAATTATCTGTATTTTTTTTTCATGTAAATCTCTTATAAAAAAATGAGCATTCCGAATTCTAAACTGCAATCTTCTATTGATAAACTTTCTTACAATAAGTCTATCGAATAGATAATCAGCAATCAATTTATAGCTCAACTATTACTTCATCAATCGAAAAATAAATCGATTGCTATTCTGAATAGCATAAGTCATTTAGTTTCAAGTTTTTAATAACGAATTTTCTAACACTAAACATTTAATCAATCATTCAATTCTCCATATCACGAGCATCGAAAATAACTATTTGATAAAAGCAAATGGTTCAAATACTCTCGGCTTCGTTTCAACCAATGATTCAATATCCCCATGTCGCGCAGCTCAAAAAAAACCAATCTATTCTATAGAAACAACTAGCTCAAATACTCGCAATTTCGTTTCAACCAATAATTCAATGTCCCCATGTCCCGTAGTTCGAAAAAAGATCTGTTCTATAGGAACAAGTAGCTGAAATACTCTTAATTTCGTTTCAACCAATGATTCAATGTCTCCATGTCCCGCAGCTCAAAAAAAACAATCTATTCTATAGAAACAAGTAGCTGAAATACTCTCGATTTCGTTTCAACCAATAATTCAATGTCTCCATGTCCCGCAGCTAAAAAAAAA